ACTCCAGCCCCCCATGACCCTAGTGAGGATTAAGCGGTGTATAGATAATGGATGGATGGATGTTTTCTCCTTTGTACTGGACGTGTCGTGTCCTCTGGGTCTGGCAGAGCTTTTGCATTTGAAAAAAGTTGCAAACTTCAGCAAACACTGATGAGATCCATGAAGTTATTTAATAAAACGTCACATTACCTTAAACTGGATCCATTAAAGAACACCTTTTACACATCTATTAACAGTATTGTTGTGGCTGTATCCTGCAGGTGTGCTCCAGTTGGTGTCACTGTCTTACTGAAATGTGAACGGTGGGCCCAGGCTCCGGTTGTCTGCCCTTTGGAGCAGGTTTCTGACCAGTCTCCCTGTTCCTGCCACTGAAAAGCACCTCCGTGATGTCAGATTGTCTTTTTCTATTTTTACATTCTGAGATCTTTCATTCTAGATCTGTAGGGAAAATTTATAACAGAAACTTGTTATGAGGGAATTCCTGACCCAGGTCATAGATGACCCAGATCCTACTGAGAAGTCGTAGAATATGATCATTTGGCAACTCCTAACTTCCATCTTTCTTCTGTGCCATAAAGATCTGATTAGATTATGTGTGATTAAGCGGTGTGTAGAGATAATGGACGGATGGGAAATGTACGAGTCTATAAAATGAGGAAAAAGCGAAGGGTTGTGAATACTTTCTGAAGCCACTGTAGAGGACACTATGGACAACAGACAAGTGAAAGTTTTGCTGGTGGAAACTTGGGGGAACTTTCACTGCAGAAACTGATTCCAGACTGAGATGTGGTCAAGAAGTTCTGTAAGCTAGAGGAGAGCAAACTATCCTCAAGTGGAGCCACTGTCTGATTATTCAGTTAAAACCTAGTCAGCTGTTTTTGTGTCATTTCTCTTGAACAGTCTCTCTTTTAAAAATCCCCTTTGTTTTGACATGTTACCTAATGTATTAAAGCACTGCATGACAAGAACCATCTCTTTGCATTAACTCTTTGCATTTTTTTCTTTCACTTCTCTATTTTTAAAGGTCAAATTATCTCTCTTTCTAGATATCTCAGAAAGGAAATAACAACACGCCGCTCACTGCTGACTGCTCAAAGTCAACACATGCAGTGCAAAAAATACACACCGCTTAATCCTCACTAGGGCCGTGGGGGGCTGGAGTCTATCCCAGCTGACTCAGGGTGAAGGTAGAGGACACCTGGACAGGTAACCAGTCTATCACAGGGCTACACTTAGAGACAGACAACCAAGCACACTCACATTCACACCTATGGACAATTTACAATCACCAATTTACCTCAACATGTTTTTGGACTGTGTGGGAGGAAACCGGAGAACCTAGAGAAAACATGCAAGCTCCATGCATCCTAACCGGGACGTGAACCGGCGACCTTCTTGCTGCAAGGCAACGATGCTAACCACCAATCCACCCTGCAGCCTGTTATTGAAGACGACCAGTGCAAATAGGCATGAAGGAATATATGCATGCTCTAACTGGACAAATGCTGTCTAGATGCAAATCTGAATTACCCGTGAACTCGATTAGATTGCGATAANCTCCCCAACACCTTTTGCAGTCATGCAGCCTGATATCCTCACACCCACACCTCCATACTTCACTGTCAGGTCTATGCATTCACTGTGGGAGCCCTGTTCAGGTGCATGCCAAACATGCTGGACCCCATCAGATCAGAAATAACACAACAAAAACAGAGATAATTTAAGTTTGATTGATATTGTCTGAGGTAGACGATGGAAAAGTGGGTTTTCTGAAGGTTTGTGAAGATGGAGTTATCTGTTCTTGCAAATGAACTCTTCATATTTTTAGTTGCTCACTGAACGATTTTGTTGTTTTTTTCCTCTTTGTGTGAAGTGTCACAATCATATTTTTTTCATTCCTCTGGTGATTTTTTTTTTTTCCCACGAGGAGCCACGATGCTGACGTGCAGATAGACATAATCCAAAAGTCCAGAACTGAGAAACAGGTCACTTCATAACAATGCTCATGCAGTCAGGCTAGCTGATGTCTTCAGTTTCGTTTACCTGATCACAGATTCTCTACCTTGTGTGTCAGTGTTCTCCAGTTAGCATTAAGTGTCTACGTTGGGGTCTGCATTTTCATTATAGTCTTTTTAATGTATTTGTTTTTGACTTTTCAAAAGAGGAAATACTCAATATGTCAGCTTAGAAGTAATGCAATAGCTGCACAGTGATTCAGTTTTGAATCACTTGACATTCAAGTGATATTGCTCAAGGGTGTCCGCGAGTCTGCTGTGTGCTATATAAAGTAGTATGAAGTTCAGTTACTCAAGGACAAGTGTCTTGGAATTTTACCTAAGTATACCAAGTTAGTAGATGTAGATGTAGAATCTCCTCAGTTGCCTTTCATCAGTCGTGCACAGACGTATTTATAGCAGCAATAAATTATGTTTCTGAGTGCTTGAGGTCGGTGGAACAGGCTGTAAAGATAACACTGACATTATCTCGTGTAGTTCTAGAAACAGCCAGCTTGTGAGGAAACTTATCAGATACAAAACTAAATCAGCATTTTTTTGGACTAAGGAATCTAATATTTATTCTCCTTTTTTCTCCTTGGCCTGTATGGTGGCTCGATGGTTAGCACGTCGCCTCACAGCCAGAAGATCCCCGGTTCATGTCCCAGTTAGGA